GGCAGCATTCTGATAAACCTCTTCAGCATCCTCTCCAAAACCTCCACATCCTTTGCTGTAATGTGATGACCAGAATTGAACACAATGCTCTAACTGTGACCTAACCAAAGTCTTCTAAAGCTGCAACATGACATCCTGACTCTTGTACTCAGTTCCCCGACCAATAAAGGCAAGCATGCCATATGCCTCCTGTACCACCCTATCTACTTATGTGGCCAAGTTCAGCGAGCTATAGACTTGAACCCCAAGATCCCTTTGTACATCAGTGCTGTTGAGGGTCCTGCCATTAACTGTATACTCTTCCTTAACATTTAATCTCCCAAAGTGCAGCACCTCACATTTGCCCGGATTAAACACCATCTGCCATTTCTTCGTCCATATCTGTAACTGATCTATATCCCTCTGCATCCACAATTCCATCGATCTTTGTATCGTCTACAAATTTACTAACCTACCCATCTATATTTTCATGCAGGTCATTTATATATTTCACAAACAGCAGAGATTCTAGTACAAATCTCTGCGGAATAGTGCAAGTCACAGACCTCCAGCCAAAAAAACACACTTCCACCACTATGCTCTCCCTTTTATGAGCCAGCCAGTTCTGAATCCACACATGCAGGTCATTGTGGTTCCTATGCATCTTTAGCTTCTGGAAAGCCTACCATGAGGGACCTCGTCAAAAGTCTTACTGAAATCCATTTAGACAGCATCCACTGCACAACCCTCATTGATCACCTTTGTTACCTCCTTGAAAAATTCAACCAAGTTAGTAAGACATGACCTGCCTTGCACAAACCCATGCTGACTGCCCCTAATTAGGCCATGCTTTTCTAAATGCATGTAAATCCTATCCCTAAGAATTCCCTCCGAAAGCTTCCTAACCACCCATGTGACACTCATTGGTCTATAGTTTCCTGAATCATCTGTTTCCCTTCTTGAGCAGAGGAACAGCATTAGCTACTCACCAGTCCACAGGGACCTCTCCAATTGCTACCGATGATACAAAGATCTTGGTCTAAGCCTCAATAGTCTCTTGTTTCTCTCAATAACCAGGATAGATCCCATTGGGCCCTAAGGACTTATCCATCTTAATGCTCTTCAAGAGACCCAACACAACTTCTTTCTTGATCTCAAAATGCTCTAGCATATTGACATGCTCCACACTTACTTCACTATCCTCCATATCCATCTCCTGGGCGATTACCAATGCAAAGTACTCATTTACAATCTCACCCACGTTTGTTCTGAATTTCAGCACCGCGGTGGTTCTTTTGAGAAGTTTAAGAAAAGCCAAGAAATTTGAGTAACCAAACACATGTTAAGTGCTTTTGATGACTTCAATTGTTCGTTACCAGCATCAAATTGTCCTAAGCTGTTTAAACTGGTTCTGAGGCCAGCAATGTGGTGCAGTGTTAATAGAGGCAAAGGATATGGGGATCAAATGACACGTCAGTTATTTTTGACACACATCAAATATGTGGTAATATCAATATTCAACATTGGAGAAGAGACTTCGTGTTTGGTGTTTGGTGTTGGGTTTAAAAATAAGAGGAAAACGAATTCTGACGATTGAGTCTCTTTGGAATTCTGTTCCCCAAAAGCCAGTAGATACAGAATTTTAAAATATTTTTACAGCAGTGGTAGTTGATTCTTGATTACCAAGGGGATGAAAGAATATTGGGGTATACAGGAATGTAGAATTGAGGTTAAAATCAGATCAGATCGTGAGGACTCAAACGACCATGTGACCTACTGTTCTCTATACTTATGTTCTCTAACATGTTGAAGTCTACATATCGAATAACACTGCAGACAGCTGTGGATCATAACCCTTTGAATGATCTATCATGAGTTCATAACATGATTTTAAACTGTTTCATTAGAATTTACTGCTATAACCATGCAACTTGAAATTCATTCATGTTGCAATCAGATAATATTATGGCGGACTCTTTATCAAGAAGATGAAAATGAATGTCATGATCAGAATAGATTCGTATATAATATGATAATTATGGAAAATCTTTGTGTATTTAGTATAAATCTATTGTTGGCAAAGTAAAATCTACATAAAATAGAAATGATGATGAGAAAATTGTAATGCGAAATGAAACTGCATCTCATTAAAACCTTTTCATTTTCTTTCTGCGGGAAATGTGATGAAGGTTCATAAAGAATTGCAGTTTGGGTTAGGGAACTTGGGTTCTACAGGACTTACATACTTAATGGTAAGTCCTGGGGAGTGTTGCTGAACAAAGAAACCTTGGAGTGCAGGTCCATAGTTCCTTGAAAGTGGAGTCACAGGTAGACAGGACAGTGAAGGAGAAGTTTGGAATGCTTGCCTTTATTGGTCAGCGAGTTTAGGAATTGAGAGGTCATGTTGCAGCTGTACAGGATATTGGTTAAGCCACTATTGGAATACTGTGTTCAATTCTAGTCTCGCTGCTGTAGGAAGAATGTTGTGAAACTTGAAAGGGTTCAGAAAAGATTGACAAGGATGTTGCCGGGGTCGGAGGGTTTGAGCTATAGAGAGAGGCTGAATAGGCTGGGTCTAGTTTCCCTGGAGTGTCAGAGGCTGAGGGGTGACCTTCCAGAGGTTTATAAAATCATAAGGGGCATGAATAGGGTGAATAGCCAAAGTCTTTTCCCCATGGTGGGGGAGTCCAAAACTAGAAGACATAGGTTTAAAGTGAGAGGGGAAAGATATAAAAGGGACCTAATGAGCAACTTTTTCACGCAGAGGATGGTGCGTGTATTGAATGAGCTGCTGGAGGAAGTGGCTGAGGCTGGTTCAATTACAACATTTAAAAGGCATCTGGATGGGTATAAGAACAGGAAGGGTTTAGCGGGATATAGTCTAAATACTGGCAAGTGGGCCTAGATTAATTTAGGATGTCTGGTCGGCATGGACAAGTTGGACCAAAGGGTCTGTTCCATGCTGTACAACTTTATGACTCTAAGTGGAGGATATGTAGCTTAAAATTTAATTTGTATCTCTACATTGTGTTAGGAATTTGGAAGTTATTGTTTTCACTTTCATTTTAGATTTATTCTGAGAGTGGTATTGGGATGCCTGGAAATTTGTTTGCATGCATTTAAATTAAGTCTTTAATACTCTTGAGAATCTTACATTGCATTAGAGAGGAAGGTAAGGATGAAATACTGTGCTGCCCAGTGACAGGAGTGATACAGAAAGTCAGTAACATTTGGCAGAATACAGGTTTCATTCAAATAGAATCGGTCTGTAACCAATGTTTACATCAGATACGCTGTTAATTTAGTGGTTCTAAAAGGTCAGAAGCAAAGAAACCCTGAGTGGCTGAAAAGTCAGTAAGACGGAAGCTCCAGGAACAGAAGGTTTATGAAGTGTCAGAGAGGAATGCCATCTACAAGGCTGTTAAAGTTTACATAATACATGTTAAGGAATAAGTGAGCTAATTTAGCAGTTTGTTTAAGGAATCCAAGGAGAGATACTATCTAAGGAAAGCAACCTTGTGTAAATGCAGAAATGTTTTGAAAAGAAACTGATTGCATTTGACAAAAGAGCTTTAAAACAGAGACAATGCTGACCCTTCACTGAAGTTTGTGTGTCTGTAATGAAGTTGTGGAGGGTGAAAAGGCTGAATCCCTGTATGGCATTTGTTATAAGTTTATTTTAAATAGTTCCTATGGTTTAGCAAAAGTGTATGTTTTTCTCTTGTGTTCTAAACATTTATATTCTTTTATTAAACATACATTGGCAGGCTTTTGTCGATATGTTAAGTAACAGATCTTCATGGTAGACCAACAGCAAAAATAAAACTTGCCGTTTTTCAGCGCAGGTTCCATTCTGGGATTTGATTTGTCCAGTGTTACCATCATCTGGGATCGTAACAGTTTCAAGAATCAGGATACATTTGGATAGATTTTAAGCTACCCTATAAATTTTATGTACTGCTAGATACAACTCAACAATTCATGGGCTGAGGCATGAGATTCTATGCCCTTGCCACTTAACTCCATACCCAGGCCAAATAGGGCACTGAACCTTTAGGGAAATTTTCAGTTTTGGCATCACACTTGCATCTAGAGCAAGTGCAAAGCCAGATGTGAGAATTGGTAATTTTCAGATGTGTTCAATGGAATGTAAAAGTGCAGTTAGCTGCTTCGATCAGCTTAACAGACCAGGAGGCAGGCAAGTTGGGCTAACACCATAAGGAAGCAAGATCAATGCTGGCATTAAATCAGGAATTATAAGGACAGGAAAAAAATATTCAGCTCCTTGAACCTGTTCAAATCAATTAATTGATTATTGATCTGTGCCTTAACTCACTTTACTCCCTTTGATATCTCTAGTTTGGGGGTGAGAATTCCATGTTTCTTCTGCATTTTGTGGAAAAGTTCCCATTTAAGTTTACTCTTAAATGACCAAATTTTTATCAATGTATCATTTAAGGTGGTCAATTAGATTATCTCTGACCTTCTAAATACAAGCTGTTACAAATCATGTTCATGTATCCTATCCTCAAATTTTAATAGGTTAAAGCCTTAATGATGTGGTGAGTCTACACTGTAGTCTCATAACCCTCTTCCACATGTTATGCGTAAACCTGAATGCAATAATTTGAGATTAAGTTTGACCTAGGCTCTATAACTGATTTATCATTCCTGACTTTTGTATTCCAGGTGCCTTGAGATAATAACCAACATTCAATAGCTTTTCTTTTACTTTCTGCACATATGTACTAGCTTCCAGTGTCTTATTTGTGAGAATGTTTGTGTCAGTTTTGCTCTGCAGTTCCTAGCCTATCGTCATTTTCTAAATATTCAAATTTGTCTTCTTGGACCCAAAATGGAAGCCTCTTACTTATCCATACTACTATAATTTTGAGAACTAATTTGTGCTGTCCGTAACATTTCTTGCTATTTCATTTTTTTAACTTGTCAATATATTGTGAATGTTTATATATCTTTATTTTGAAAGTTAAAATATTTTAATTATGTATTTTATTTTTCAGCCAGAAAGTGAAGTGTCTACTACAGCTGATGACTATACATCAGAGGTAAATATTTTGTAAAGAATGCATGATATTTGGGGCTCAAGATTATTAGAAATTATATTCTTTCATTTTGTAGAATTAAATATTGGTAAAACAACAAAGTACTCCACTAAAAGGATATTGGAAAGAGATACTCCAGAAGGGATTAAGAATCTGCCCCAACAAATTCAAAGGGAATTTATAGATGCTTAGACTTTCTCAGTCCATGATCTATTCTAAAATTATTTCAATGAATTTAAGAGTAGCCAGACTTTTTCAGCAGCCATTTATATCTTGGAGTTCTAAAGGACACTAACAAGGCACTTCTGGAGGCACTATCAAAAAAAAATTATTGGGTCATGGTTCCATTCTGCAGAGCTGGAAATGAGCAACCATAACACCTCTATTTAAAAAGACCGAGATGCTGAACATCAGTAATTCTAATAAGGTGGGCATAGTATAGTAACTCATGGATTCTGCATTTGTACAATTAAACACAAAAATCAAGGAGTTGTTGTCAGTATTTCAATACAACTGTCGAGGGTCTGCACTTTATCTATCCTGCATATTGTAATTGGAAATGCTAGAAGTTGTCAACAATTTCAACTGTTTTATTGTTAGCCTCTGTCAAAACCCGAGAAAAAAGCTACATTTTGTTGAATGAGGATTTTAATGGAGTATTCATTTATAAAAGGGCTCAGACTAATGTTTCAAAATCTTGTAGAACAGAAAATTATTCCAGAAAGATTAGAGAGATTTATTCATTTCAGAGGGCATTTCAGTTTTTAAAGAAAGACGATAGGTGATTTCTATTAGAGATAGTAGGAACTGCAGATGCTGGAGAATCCGAGACAACAAGGTGCAGGGCTGGATGAACACAGCAGGCCAAGCAGCATCATAGGAGCAGAAAGGCTGACGTTTCGGGCCGAGACCCTTCATCAGAAAAGGGGGAGGGGAAGGGGGTTCTGAGGCGGATAGAAGATGGATAGAGGAGAGGAAACAAACAGGTCGAAGAGGCGGGGATGGAGCCAGTAAAGGTGAGTGTAGGTGGGGAGTTGGGGAGGGGATAGGTCAGTCCAGGGAGGACGGACAGGTAAAGGGGGCGGGATGAGGTTAGTCGGTAGGAGATGGGGGTGTGGCTTGAGGTGGGAGGAGGGGATAGGTGGGAGGAAGAACAGGTTAGGGAGGCGGGGACGAGCTGGGCTGGTTTTGGGATGCGGTAGGGGAAGGGGAGATTTTGAAGTGTGTGTTGCAGGGTTCCCAAGCGGAATATGAGTTGCTGTTCCTGCAACCTTCAGGTGGCATCGTTGTGGCACTGCAGGAGGCCCAGGATGGACATGGCGTCTGAGGAATGGGAGGGGGAGTTGAAATGGTTCGCGACTGGGAGGTGCAGTTGTTTATTGCGAACCGAGCGTAGGTGTTCTGCAAAGCGGTCCCTGAGCCTCCGCTTGGTTTCCCCGATGTAGAGGTAGCCACACCGGGTACAGCGGATGCAGTATACCACATTAGCAGATGTGCAGGTGAACATCTGCTTGATGTGGAAAGTCTTCTTGGGGCCTGGGATGGGGGTGAGGGAGGAAGTGTGCGGGCAGGTGTAGCACTTCCTGCGGTTGCAGGGAAAAGTGCCGGGTGTAGTGGGGCTGGAGGGGAGTGTGGAACGGACAAGGGAGTCACGGAGAGAGTGGTCCCTCCGGAAAGCAGATAAGGGTGGGGAGGGATAGATGTCTTTGGTGGTGGGGTCGGATTGCAGATGGCGGAAGTGTCGGAGGATGATGCGTTGGATCCGGAGGTTGGTGGGGTGTTACGTGAGGACGAGGGGGATTCTTTTTTGGTTGTTATTGCGGGGACGGGGTGTGAGGGATGAGTTGCGGGAGATGTGGGAGACACGGTTGAAGGCGTTCTCGACCACTGAGGGGGGGAAGTTACGGTCCTTGAAAAAAGAGGACAACTGAGATGTACGGGAGTGGAATGCCTCATCCTGGGAGCAGATGCGGTGGAGGCGAAGGAATTGGGAATAGGGGATGGCATTTTTGCAGGAAGGTGGGTGGGAGGAGGAGTATTCTAGGTAGCTGTGGGAATCGGTGGGCTTGAAATGAATATTAGTTTCTAGGTGGTTGCCCGAGATGGGGAGAGAGGTATTAGAGATAGTCCAGGTAAACTTAAGGTTGGGGTGGAAGGTGTTGGTGAAGTGGATGAACTGTTCGAGCTCCTCGTGGGAGCACGAGGCGGCGCCGATACAGTCATCAATGTAACGGAGGAAGAAGTGGGGTTTAGGGCCGGTGTAGGTACGGAAGAGGGATTGTACCACGTAACCTACAAAGAGGCAAGCGTAGCTTGGGCCCATGCGGGTACCCATGGCCACCCCCTTTGTCTGTAGGAAGTGGGAGGAATTGAAAGAGATGTTGTTGAGGGTGAGGACAAGTTCGGCTAGGCGGATGAGGGTGTCAGTGGAGGGGGACTGGTCGGGCCTGTGGGACAGGAAGAAGCGGAGGGCCTTTAGGCCATCTGCATGGGGAATGCAGGTGTAGAGGGACTGGACGTCCATGGTAAAGATGAGGTGGTGGGGACCGGGGAATTGGAAGTTCTGGAGGAGGTGGAGGCCATGGGTGGTGTCACGGACATAGGTAGGGAGTTCCTGGACCAAGGGAGATAAAATGGAGTCCAGATAGTTGGAGATCAGTTGGGTGGGGCAGGAGCAGGTGGAGACAATGGGTCGACCTGGGCATTCAGGTTTGTGGATTTTGGGAAGGAGATAGAAGCGGGCAGTGCTTCAAAATCTCCCCTGCCCCTACCGCATCCCAAAACCAGTCCAGCTCGTCCCCACCTCCCTAACCTGTTCTTCCTCCCACCTATCCCCTCCTCCCACCTCAAGCCGCACCCCCATCTCCTACCGACTAACCTCATCCCGCCCGCTTGACCTGTCCGTCCTCCCTGGACTGACCTATCCCCTCCCCAACTTCCCACCTACACTCACCTTTACTGGCTCCATCCCCGCCTCTTCGACCTGTTTGTTTCCTCTCCTCTATCCATCTTCTATCCGCCTCCCCCTCTCTCCCTATTTATTTCAGAACCCCCTTCCCCTCCCCCTTTTCTGATGAAGGGTCTCGGCCCGAAACGTCAGCCTTTCTGTTCCTGTGATGCTGCTTGGCCTGCTGTGTTCATCCAGCCCTGCACCTTGTTGTCTCAGGTGATTTCTATTGAAGGGTATGACAATGTAAGGTATGAAAATGAAAGTCTGGAATATTTAAAATAAATTCTGAGAATGGAATGAGAGCTGAAAGCATATACAAATAACACACAAATTTTGAATGCTGTCATGAAGTATTCTCACAGAGAATATTGGAGACAACCTTGCAATCATTCCAGACCCGAATGAATGCTGTCGCTAGGGAAATTATGGTTGGATCAGTAGTCTTTCTCAAATCTTATCTTGTGTATAAATTGTGAAACTTTGAAATACAATAGGAAATTTATTTCAATGATTTTGAAAAAGTTATTTTGCCTATATGAGAGATGTGACCCCTCATGTACACCAAGCAGAGAGCATCAGGGCATTAAGCAAAATCGAGCAAAGTAGATAGAGCTGAAGGGAGCAAAAGTTGTGCAACTTCGATGTACCACAGTTCTCTGTGAGCCTTCAGCAGTGAAAAATAATGTTTAACAGCACATATTTAGAAGAATGAGTGGTGATTTAATTGAGACATGTAGAATTCTTAAGAGGCTTGTCAGGGTAAATGCTAATTTCCCCTCATGGGAGAGTCTAGGACCAGAGGGTATACTCTCAGAATGAAGGGGTGCCAATTTAAGACTGAAATAAGGAATTTCTTCTCTGAGACTTGATTCTTTTGAACTCCTTGCTGCAGAGAGCTTTGGGGCAGAGTCCTTGTGTATATTTAAGGCTGAGTTGATTGATTCTTGATCAGTAGGGGAATCAAGGAGTACAGGGAATGGGCAGAAAAATATACATGAGAAACGTTGGATCAGCCATGATCCTGTTGAATGGGAGTGTATACTTGAGCGGCTGGATGGCTTACTCCTGTCCATGTATCTTTTGGTCCTTTGTAATGTGGAGGATACACCTTAGTGCTAGGAGTCCAAGACAATGCTGTGTTGCTATGATGGGCAAAGTATGCTGATCGGTTGGGCATGTGATTTGGTAATGTATGTTAGCATAGGTTTAACTTATAAAGAATTAACCTATCAAGAAGGTACTGATTGCAAGTTTACTAGCTTTTTGCTTACATCATAGTAGCCTCAAGTTCAATCTCTAGCTTCTTGTTTGCACAAAAAAAGGTAAAGGCTGATAAGTGAAGCTACTGTGAACATTTGAGAGAAGAAAAAAGCATTCATAATTTGAGATGTATTAATGTTCTTTTTAATTAAAAGTGACTATTAATGATTTGCGTTCAATTTCTGATGGATGTGAAAAGTTATAAGAATGTTTTGGTGAAATGCAGAATGACCCAACTGTTAGACAACCATGTAACGAAATGATTTGACACTATTTCACATGCTGCTCACTTGTATTAATAAATGTTAATGCTGAATTTTTTTTTCGAAAGATTTTTAGGAATGAATGAGAAAATGCTTAAAAATATTGTTTGGTTTGTACAGGCAAATGGTTGTTGTACAGTGCAACAAGAAACGGTATTTAAAGCAGAAGATATGATGAGGGTACAGTATGAAGTCAAATAACTTGCTGCATATTTAACCACAGCTACTAACTGAATTTTTTCCAAATGGTTAGAACGGTTCCCAGAGTATAAGTCTGTATAATTGCCTTCATTCATTGAGGTGAGAGTTAATTCCAGTTGATATCAAGGCAGTTTTAGGTTGAATGTGACAATAAAGATCCTTAGCAAGACTGAGGATAATGGAAATTGGGGAAAACATTCTTCCGGTGGAAGTCATACCTAGCATAAAGGGAGATAGCTGTGATTGTTAGAGGGCAGTGCATCACTGTATTCCTCATGGTAGTGTCTTATGCCCAATCATCTTTAGCTGGTCAATCAATTGCCTTCCTTCCATCATACGGTCTATAATGAGGATGTTCATTGATGATTGCATAATGTTCATTCATGAGTTCTCAGAGACTGACACAGCCTATGTCTATATGTGGCAAGTCCTGAACAACGTCCATGCTTTGGTGATAAGTAACGATTTCCCCAGACCAGTGTCAGGAAATGACCATCCCCCTTTCAAGCAAGAATCTAATCATCTCCCCTTGACATAGTGCATACTGGCAGCAGTGTGTACCATCAGTAAGATTCACTGCACCATCTCACGAAGATTCCTTAGACAGCGCCACTCAACCTATGATCTCTACCGCCGAGAAGGAGAGGATGTAGAGGTGTTGGTGTTGGACTGGGGTGGGTAAAATCACACAACACCAGGTTATAGACCAACAGGTTTATTTGAAATCGCAAGCTTTCAGAGCATAGCCCCTTCGTCAGGTGAAGTGAGAGAGAAGCACACAGAACACAAAATTTATGGGCAGAGAGATCAAAAGATCATACAAATAGTGTGAGTGGAGTGTTGAAAAGTAAGTCTTTGCAGGTGATCAAAAGTGTTTGGCAGTGTGAATAAAATGTCAACAGCTGAATAACAAGCAAAGGGATGACCCACAATCAGATTAAATGAGGCAGAGAGATAATTACAAAAAATTAAATATAAGGGAATCCAAGATCACGATTGAGGCCGTCTTCATGGGTATGGAACTTGACTATCAGTTTCTGCTCGGCGATTCTGCATTGTTGTGTATCTTGGAGGTCGCCTTGGAGGACTCTCACCTGAAGATCAGAAGCTGAATGTCCTTGACTGCTGAAGTGTTCCCCGAATAGGAGGGAACATTCCTGTCTGGCGATTGTTGCGTGGTGTCCATTCATCCATTATCATAGTTTCTGCATGGTCTCGCCAATATACCATGCCTTGGGGCATCTTTGCCTGTAGTGTATGAGGTAGACAACATTGGCCAAGTCACCTGAGTATCTACCGTGTACGCAATGGGTGGTGTTCCCACATGTAATGGCAGTATCCATGTCGATGATCTGACATGTCTTGCAGAGATTGCTGTGGCAAGATTGCCTTGCGCATACACTGGATCTGCTCAGATGAGGAGGAACGTGACGGACACCCAAAGATTTTGCAGGATACCCTCATAAGAGCGGGATACGATGCTCCCCTCATTGATTGCCCGTTCTGACATGCCACAGCAAAAAACTGCAATGATCTCCTCAGAAGACAAACACAAGATATGACTGATAGAATACACTTCGTCGTTCAATGCTTCCCCAGAACGGAGAGACTACGCCATGTTGTTCGCAGCCTTCAACATGTTGTCGATGACGGTGAGCATCTCGTCAAGATCATCCCTATGCCTCCACTTCTTGTCTTCAAACAACCACCAATAACATTAAAGAGACCGTTGTTCGCAGCAAATTACCCAGCCTACAGGACAACGTTGACCACAACACCACACAACCCTGCCAGTGGCAACCTCTTCAAGACATGTCAGATCATTGACATGGATACTACCCTCACACATGGGGACGTCACACCACATACACGGCAGATACTCGGGTGACTCAGCCAACGTTGTCTACCTCATATGCTGCAGGCAAAGATGCCTCAAGGCATGGTATATTGGTGTGACCATGCAGACGCTACGACAACAGATTAATGGACACCACGCAACAATTGCCAGATAGTAGTAATGTTCCCTCCCAGTCAGGGAACACTTCAGCGGTCAAGAAAATTCAGCCTCCAATTTTCGGGTAAGCGTCCTCCAAAGTGACATTCAAGATACGTAACAATGTAGAATCGCCAAGCAGAAACTGATAGTCAAGTTCCATACCCATGAAGTCAGCCTCAACTGTGATCTTGGGTTCATATCGCGCTACATGTGACTTCACCACACTTCTGTATCTGTAAAATCATCCTTACTATCCTGTTTTAACACCATTACCCTGATAAATTATTATGATCTCTCTACCTTAATTAGTTTGTGCAATTTTGGATTACTTGTTAGTTTGGTTAGACCCTTGGCATGCAACTCTTATACCTATCATGTTATTCCAGTTATTTGGTTTGACTGCAGCGCCATCTTATATTTAATTTTTTGTGATTATCTCTGTACCTGATTTAGTTGGATTATAGGTCATCCCTTTGCTTGTTATTCAGCTGTTGACATTTTACTCACACTGTCTAACACTTTTGACTACCTGCAGAGACTTACTTTTCAACACTCCACTCTCACGATTTGTATGATCTTTTGATCTCTGTGCCCTTGATCTCTCTGCCCATAAATTTTGTGTTCTGTGTGCTTCTCTCTCACTTCACTTAATTAAGAGGTTATGTTCTGAAAGCTTGCGACTTCAAATAAACCTGATGGAATATAACCTGGTGTTGTGTGACTTCTGACTTAAAAGGACAAGGGCAGAAGAAACATGGGAATGTCATGACCTGCAAGTTCTCCTCCAAGCTGCATGTTATGTTGGCTTCAAGCTATATCATTTTCCTTTAGTGTCATTCGGTCAAATACCTGGAATTCCCTCCCACACTGCACTGTGGTAGTCCCTACAGACCAAGGAGTGTGCCTGTTCACCAGTACTTTCTACAGGGTGACTATGAATGAGCATTAAATTTGACCTAGCTAGCAATGCCCACATCCCAAAATCAACTTCATAAATTTCAAAAATAAGTGAGTTATTTTATCAATTTTTATAGATGCTCCATGAAAAGCATCCTGTCGAGATGCATCATAGCTTGGTGTGACAACTGTTCTGCCCAAGACCACAAGAATTTACAGAGGGTTGTGAACGCAGCCTGCTTCATCATGCAAACCAGCCTTGCATTCATTGACTCCGTCTATAGTTCTCACTGCCTCTGGAAAGCAGCCAACATAATCAAAGACTGCTCCCACCCTGATTATGCTTTCTTCCAGCCTCTTCTGTCAGGCAGAAGAGAAAAAAGTTTGAAAACCCATACCAACAGATTCAAGAGCAGTTTCTTCCCTGCTGTTATCAGATCTTTGAATGGATCTCTCATATATTAAAGTTGATCTTTCTGTGCAACTTCTCTATTGCTGTAACATTATATTCTGCATTTTGTTCTGTTATCCTGATGTACTTGTATCGGTATAATTTGCCTAGATAGCATGTAAAACAATACTTTTTCTGTATCTTGGTACATGTGACAGTGGTAAATCAAATCAAATCAGTATAGAAATGGTCTGACTGGTAAGTAAAGTGGAATGCTAAATTTTGATACCTGTGGATTCAACATGATTTCTCTGATCCCTCTAACAAATGCAGGAGCTCTTTCTAAAGTAAATAGCCTAATTTCATTTCTTCTTAAGTCTAAGTGTAGCATTGATTGGCAAATCAAGAAAACCTCTCAGAGCAAATATACAAGAGCAGTTGCAAAACATTTTTAATTTAAATCAGTGTTGATGCAGAGAATGATTGGAGCATAAGCAGGGTTAGGCCCTTTGCATCTTCAAGCTTCCTCTATTCTTCAAGATATTTTATAGTAACACCGTGCAGAGACATTATGACACACCTTTGGATAAGATGCAACTTGAACCCAGGCTTCCTTATTCAGAGGTAAGGATGCTGCTACTGCCCCAAAGAGCCCTCACCTCTACCATCAATATATTTTTCTAATCAACCTAATCAGAGATGTTATTAAAGACCTCTGGAATAGGTGGGGTTTAAACATGGGTCTCCTGGCTCAGGGTAGGGGCACTACCACTCCACCACAAGAGCCTTCGTCTCTACCAATCAATAAGATTATAGCTGATTTAGCTCAGCTGCACCGTCTGTAGTAACCCATTATTCTTCACCATCTGTTCATCTCCAATATTGGAGAAAGCTTTAATTTCATGTTTGCCAACTCTGATTTGGCATGAAGTTATAATTTTACAATTGTATGGTAAAATTGAAATTTTTATTTTCTGCAACTGGTATTCCTCAGCCTCAATGCACAAATTTGCCCGAAGACACTCTGGAATTATGTGGAGCTGTTTTAACCATTGTGAGTAGCAGATGGTTAATAATGTTTATTAACATTAGCTAACTAACGTTCATTGATACTTTAATGCATAACCTATGTACTAACATTGGTGTTGTGAATTGCTTGACTACCTCACTGGAAGAGGAAGGTATATTTCTTCTGTGTTTATTTCAACTTTTTACAATTTGATATGCAGTTGTCATTTTGTGTATTAACTGAGTGAATAAGGCATCATTCTTAGAAGTGGAGTACCTATATTTTCCAAATGAAGGAAATAGTTAAATTTCTTCTTAACAATTAGAGTTTAAGGTGACCTTACTGGGTACAATGTTCTGATTTATACCAGATGTATACCAAATTTATACCAATGTTACTTTGTTCAACCTCAAATGCATAATTGGTCATTGTTATTGAACACTTTAAAAATCAAATAATTTAAAATACAGGTAGTACACATTTCTCTGAACCTATGATTTTGCTTAACTTTTCAACTTCTGCTTTTCAGCGGACCATACATATTATATTTTAAGTAATATTTTTCAAAATGCTGCACTCTGTTTTAGTCTCCTTCTTTCCAAAGTTCATGGATGGGAACAATTCTGCAGATGCTAGCAGGATCCTGGATATTTCATTCAAATAGTCACTGAATGAATGTGAATCTGAACTCTTGAGTGGTTACCTTCAGGGGATTGCAACCTAGGCCAGTCTGATCCTACTGACATTTGTCCATGTACACCTACTCGCACGAACTAGTGATAAGGATCTAGGATTTTAAGTCTCATTTCCTTAGAAGCTAAATGTACAATGACATTGATATCTTGTAGTGAGTTAACATTACACAGACCAAGTACTGAATGTTAGATTCTCCAGTCAGAATAGTTCAGTGCCACAGTGTCCAGTCATTGGCGGAGCTGAAATTATTCACTAACATAATGGAAAGTTGTCAATCTCCTGCCAGTTTTATAAAGATTTGGGCAAGTGATGGGCAATATTTTCCAATTTTAATCCTCATTATTTAATTTTTCAGTATGATGATTAGATTATATATATTGCACATAGATTTTATTTATGGAAGACTTGGTAAGATTATTGCCGTGCTCTAATAGTTCATAAAAGTATTCACCTGAAATAATATAGAATTAATAATGTTATTTTTGTCTTGACCATCAAAGTGCTATGGGTCGAAAAATAGACAAATTTACCATGCAGCTTTTGAAATGCAAATTGCTAACAATGGTTGCTATAGTGATAAATTGCAACTAGCTGCATTCTTAATATTAAGTGGACCTCTATGAAATTCATTTTTCTCTATTTGTGCCTTTTCCTTAAAGATCTTTAAAGCAATGTAAGACTGTACAGGGTTCTAATTCATTTTAATTGCTTCAGGAAGAGGATTTTAGCATATCAAGAACTTGTTCTGAAAATGATGCGCAGCCCTTTCAGACAAGACTTGAAATAATGGAGGAAGATTTAACTGCAAAACAACAAGAGATTGAAGAGCTGAACAGAGAGCTGGAAGAGCTGAGAGGGGTTTTCGGTAAAGAAGGTTTCCAGCAGGTAAATTTTCATTGTTCCCTTTTGTGCATTCCTCCTTCTTTTTAAAGCACATTTGCTTGAGTTATTGTCCTTTCTAAATAAAAAAAAAACTCAGTAAAATATAGAAGACTTTGCTGGACTTAAAAATTTTTCAAATTCCTTTTGATTTAATGCTAAATTAGATTTAATGCATTTTTAGAGTCAAAATGTAAAGTCTGGTTTATACTTCGGTGTAGTGACCTGACTGTTTAAGCATAGTTTGAAAAGAGATGAAGATCATTTTAAATGAAGAAACTGTATTACATTTATCTGATATTGTTTGGACGTATCTCAGGCTCATGGAACTTATAGTTCCTAGTGAATATTCGGCTAATGTTTATATGAATTATTTTGATATAGTTCATTATTGAGATTTACATCTAACATCACATATTCAAAATTTAGAATTATTTGACTGGAAGAGACACCCAATCTAAGAATTTTAATACAATATATTCCAACACATTTCAATTCTATTAAAGAAAGGAAGTTTCCCAATTTAAACTTGCATCTTGTCTTCGTTTTAGAATCTGAAGTGCATTGGAGGTTTACCAAGATGGTGTAGAGCTTATGAAGCTCTATCTCCTAGTACTAAATTTGCTTTACTTGAGTTCACTGGTGCTGCAATTCCTGTTATTGGAATCAAATCACTTTGGTTGTAACAGTAATACAAAACACATTATTCCATATGCAAGATTATGTATGCATGATTTCTATTTTGCTGTATAATGTATAAAATATCCCTTGATGTATGTAGGATATCAAGCCATTTTTAGTTGGGAAGTAATTCCGTTCAAAGTTCATAAGACATAACAATTGAATATTTATTAATTGAATGCTGTATTTATTTTTGTTTATTTTCTGTGCACTTTTCATTTCCTATCTATTGATGAATCCTTTCATCCTAATGCCCTTCTATTTGTGTGGCTGTTTTCAGAGCAACAAAAATATCAGATGTTTCAAATGTATCAAAACCCATTTACTTTAATATTTACATTGAGTCCTTAACTTTTCTGGTTTACATTTGTATTATTTTAAAAGATCATCTAGCAAACTTTCTAAGTCTGTTTCTAAAACATTCACATATTTTCTAAACATATTTGGTAATTCAGTTCCCTCTTATGTCTCATATACATGCCATCCCTCAGTGAAGTCTGTATGTGCACTGATGGTGCTTAGCTTTTTTTATTCACTCATGCAATATGAGTGTCGCTGGCTAGGCCAGCATTTGTTGCCCATCCATATTTGCTGTTGAATTTAACTGGGTGGCTTGCTTGGCCCATTTCAGAGGATGGTTAAGAGTCAACAACATTGCTGTAGGTTTGACCAGAAGGATGGTCTTTCCCGAAACTGAATTTTGTGAACGTGACGATGTGTTTTCACAAAATCGATGATAGTCATTATTGTTAGACTTTTAAATTCCAACTATTTTAATTGAATCAGTACAGTGGTCATGGGATTTGAACCTCGGTCCCCAGAACATTACTCTGGGGTTCTAGATTACTTAAGTAGCCACAATTTTACTAGGCCATTATGACCCCACCACCAATCATGTAACTATCATCTTGATCTCTTTAAATTGTCAGCTTGTTTATCTGACATGTAATATTAAGTGAGCAAAGATGTGTGTCAGTGAAATATAGGAAAAACTGGAGCTATTGTATTTTCAGCTCTCGCCAGAGACACAACTCCCCTACCAGTAAATTCATTGCCTCCTCCTTGGAATTCTCTGAAGCTGAACTTTTCGCAAACCTAGTGTCATATTTGACCCCAAGAAGTGCTTTCAACCCCACATCCACACCTTAAGAACATAAGAAGCAAGAGCCTGTTCCCGATAGAACATCTACTTCTGCCTCAATTTCACTGCTGCTGACACTGTCACTTGTGCCTTTGTTACTTCTGTATGTGACTCTTTTAATGTACTTGTGGCTGGGTGCCCACAACCTCTCTAAAGTAAATCTGAGGTCACTCAAAACTTTGCTTCCCATATTCTAAGAGAGGAGAATGCAGAGATGCATCAGTGTGATTTTGACAAGCTGAGTTAGTGGACAAATACAAAGCAGATGAAGTATATTGTGGACAAATGTAAAGTTATCTAATTTGGTAGTAAAAGTTGGAGAACAGATTATAATCCGAATGGCGATAGATTAGGAAGGAAGAGGAATGTTGACCTTCATAGTGTTTAGATTTGAGTATGGGAGCAGGGATGTCTTTCTATAGTTGTACAGGGTTTTGGTGAGACCATACCTGAAGTCTCATGCACAGTTTTGGCCTCCTTATCTGAGGAAGGATGTTCTGACTAGGGAGGGATTGCAAAAAAGGATTTTCAGATTGATTGCTGGGATTACCAGACTGACCTATGAAGAGAGAGTGGAGTTTAGAAGAATGAGGAGCATCTCGTAGGAACCTATAAAATTCTAACAGGACTAGACGGGGCAAATGCAGAAAGTATGTTCCGAATGACCACATATTCCAGAATCAGAGGTGACAGTCATAGGATGTTTGGTAGGCCATTTAAGATTAAGATGAGCAGAAATTTGTTGTCCCAGAGGGTGGCAGCCTTTGGAAATTTCTGCCACAGAACGCGCTTGCGACCAAAGCATTGAATGATTTCAAGGAAGAGTTGGATACAGTTCTATGGGCAAAAGGGCTCAAAGGATAAGTAGAGAAAACAGGCAAAGGGTACTGAGTTGGATGATCAGCCATAATCATGTTGACTGGCAGATCAAGCTCAAAAGGCTGAATTTTGTCCCAATTTTCTATGTTTCTCTGTAACACTCATCTTTCTCTCTGGGCTCATTGATCTTCACTGGATCTTAAATTTCAAAATTCTAAGCCTTTCAAATCTCTTCATACCCTGACATCTCTGCCAGCTATGTAATCCCTTCCAGTCCGACAATCCTCTTGGAGATAGTAGGAACTGCTGATGGTGGAGTTTGAGATAACAAGGTGTGGAGCTGGATGAACACAGCAGGCCAGGCAACACCAGAGGAACAGGAAAGCTGTTGGTTCGGGTCTGGACCCTTCTTCAGAAATGGGGTGGAGGGGTGAAGGGGGCTCTGAAATAAATAGAGAGGTGGGGGCGGTGATAGAAGGTGGATGGTGGAGCAGATAGGTGGGAGAGAAGATGGACAGGTCAAAGAGGCGGGGATGAAGCTAGAAAAGGTGAGTGTAGGTAGGAAGTGGGGGTGGGGGTGGGGGTTGGTCAGTGAGGAAGGAGGGGCGGATAGGTAGGAGAGAAAATGGACAGGTCAAGGAGGCGGGGATGAGATGGGGGTGCTGGTCTTGGAATGAGGTCGGGGATGGGGAGATTTTGAAGCTTGTAAAGTCCACATTAAGACCATTGGGTTGTAGAGTTTCAAGGCGGAATATGAGGTGCTGTTCCTCCAGTTTCCGGGTGGCGTCATTGTGACACTGGAGGAGGCCCAGGATGGACATGTCGTCCAGGGAGTGGGAGGGGGAGTTGAAGTGGTTTGCGACTTGGAGGTGTTGTCGTTTGTTGCGAACTGAGCGTAGGTGCTGCACAAAGCGGTCTCCAAGCCTCCACTTGGTCTCCCCGATGTAGAGGAGGCCACATCGGGATTAGCGGATGTGCAGGTGAACATCTGTTTAATGTGGAAGGTTTTTTTGGCGCCTGGGATGGAGGTGAGTGGGGAGGTATAGGGGCAGGTGTAGCACCTCCTGTGGTTGCAGGGAAAGGTGCCGGGCATGGTGGGGCTAGTGGGGAGTGTTGAGCAGACGAGGGAGTCATGGAGAAAGCAGATAAGGGTGGGGAGGGAAATATATCCTTCGTAGTGGGGTCAGATTGCAGGTGGCGGAAGTGGCGGAGAATGACGTGTTGAATCGGAGGTTAATGGGTGATACGTGAGGACAAGGGGAATTCTGTCACTGTTTTTATTGCGGGGAGGGGGTGTGAGGGCTGACGTGCGGGAAATGCAAGAGATGCGGTCAAGGGCATTTTTAACCACTGGGGGTAAAATTGCAGTCCTTGAAACACAAGGACATCTGGGATGTCTGGGAGTGGAACGCCTCATCTTGGGAGCTGATGCGGCGGAGGCGGAGGAATTGGGAATAGGGGATCGCATCCTTGCAGGAAGGTGAGTGAGAGGAGGTGTAGTCTAGGTATCTGTGGGAGTCGGTGGGCTTGAAATAGATATCAGTTTCAAGGTGGTTACCAGAGATGGAGACAGAGAGGTCCAGGAGGGAGAGAGAGGTATCAGATGGTCCAGATGAACTTGAGGTTGGGTGGAAGGTGTTAGTAAAGTTGAATAACTGTTCGAGCTCCTGGTGAGAACATGAGGTGGCACCGATACAGTCATCGATGTAATGGACCAAGAGGTGGGGGCTAGTGCCAGTGTAGCAGCAGAAGAGGGACTGTTCCCGTATCCTACAAAGAGGCAGGCATAGCTTGGGCCCATGCAGGTACCCATGGCCACCCCTTTCGTCTGTAGGAAGTGGGAGGAGTTGAAGGAGAAGTTGTTAAGGGTGAGGACGGTTGGGCGGATAAGGGTAACGGTGGAGGGGGACTGGTTGGGCCTGCAGGAGAGGAAGAAGCGGAGGGTTTTTAGGCCATCTGCATGGGGAATGCAATATATAGGCATTGGATGTCCATGGTGAAGATGAGGTGTTGGGGACTGGGGAATCGGAAGTTTTGGAGGAGGTGGAGGACGTGGGTGGTGTCCCGGACATGGGTGGGGAGTTCCTGGACCGGGGGGAGAAAATGGAGTCGAGATAAGTAGAGATACGTTTGGTGGGGCAGGAGCACGCAGAGACAATGGGTTGGCCAGGGCAGTCGGGTTTATGGATTTTGGGAAGGAGATAGAAACGGGCGGTGCGGGAGTTGGGGAATGATGAGGTTGGAGGCTGTGGGTGGGAGGTCACATGAGGTTATGGACGGTTTGGGAGATGATGTTTTGATGGTCAGGGGTGGGGTCATGATCAAGGGGGCGGTAGGAGGAGGTGTCAGAGAGTTGGCACCTGGC